AGTCTTCCAGGGCACGGGCTCTATCAGTGTAGTGCAAGGTGTCTTGGCAGCAGAGCATCTCCAAGGCAGTGAGAAGAGAGAGAAGGTGTCTCCCGTCTCCAAGGAAGAAAATACAGGAATTCCCAGAATTCCCAGGAGAAGGCCATGCCTACACAGAGGCCTCATTGACTATGATCCGATTGACAGACTAGACTCCCCCCCTTCACTCTTAATCCTCTCAAGTCCCAAATTGACATCAGATGTTGTAACTACCACAGTATCATTTACCAACTCCAGGGATTCAGGTCTGATCATCTATGAAGGAAGTGTTATTCAGCCTTGAGAAGCAGGTGGAATTGAAACGACTTAAAACCAAGCGAAGTAGCACAAACACACGCCATTGTTTGATAGCAATTCCGCTGCTGTCCCGAATTACAACAATAGTGACTACTACGCCTCCCGTGTCATCTTCAGATTAATGTCCACCATGTAGTTTGTAGGCCCAGAAACAGGCCCAGAAACTCCAGACCACATTAAATCAAAAAACATACCGCAGCTTTGTGAAAGAAACCATCATAGTCATTTTTTAAGTCCCAAATATGTGTTTCTCAACAGATTAGTTATATGGAGTTTTGTGCACGGACACTCGGTCAACTTGGAAAACTAGGATGCAAACCGGGAACAACAACAAAAAGAGAAAGGTCGGCAAAGTTTAAGAACGAGCGAGAGGCATGCTTCCATATTCAAGAAGTTTTAAAAAAAACTTAACCACAGACCTCTCAGGGTATCCGTTTAGTGGGTCTGGTAGGCTCCAAAGGAAAATATATGCACAGGTATAAAGTTCCCCAAATACTTTTATACACAGACACCTCCCTTTCAAGTTCCATGATGACAGCAAACATGTGGGCTTTGTTCAATGCGTCATCTCCAGCATCTAGTCTAGGCCTGAAGGGATATTTGAACGCATATGTGAATACATGAAGGCTGACGGGTGGGATGGATGGATATAAACTACAGCTGATTCGATGGATGCATGGATGGTGGATGGGGGATAAATAAATGGATGGATGGAGGGAAGGTGGTGAATGAATGAGTGGATAGGTAGATAAAATCACTGCCCTGGAGATGACTATGGCTCAGCAATCCCATCTAGCTTTTCTGAAACTGTAAACCTTTACGGCTCCGGACAGCCTCCTCTTTCTCCCACGGAGCAGCCAGTTGATGTAAGCCCCTGACTGGGGATAGATGGGACACCACCGGAGTGAACTCGCAGCTCTGGATTTGGAGCAAAAAGAAAAGGGGCAAAAGAAACAGCACGCTGAGAGGAGGGGGCTAAAGAGAAGAGCGGGTAGATGTCCCCCAAGAAAATCTGCGTTCCTGGAACTCAGATGAGCAAGTTGACATTGCAGCATATTCACACAGGCCTCACGCTCTCTGTCTGGTGTTGGAGAGACAGCACGGAGCAATGTGTACAGACGGACAGGCCTGGGTTCACCACACAGCTCCATCCACCACGTGCTCACGGATTCCCTGTCCTCATTTGCAAAATGCAGATGAACAATGGCTCCTGGATCGAGATGTTGAATGGTTTAGCAATCATTTCCCTGAAGGCTAAATCCCAAACTCAAACCCAATGCGTCGGGTCCATTCCAACTCCTAGAGGTCTATCCGATTGGGCAGAATAGACCTGCTCCCTAGTCTCCTGAGCCTTAAATCTTGACAGGAGCAGACAGCGGCTCCCTCAGAGCGGCTAGGGCATTTGAACTGCTAACCTCGGGGTTTTCAGTCTAACAAGTAACCCACGACACGACCAAGGCTGCTTCCCTCCAGGCTGGCACACAGCAATCTCTGAGAAGCTCCTGTCACTATATCATTTTATCTCCCAAGAGCTTTGCAAAGTGCTTCTATAGAAGCATTTGATTTAGAAGCATTACTTAATGGAGGGCCTGTTTCTCTGTAAGCAATAACTTCTTCCCTCCTTCTCTCCCTCCACCCTTTCCTTCTTTCTTATCTATCAGCATTCTTATTTCTTGACTAGAGAATGAGTTACAAACGATACAACACAAGAGCATGCCACCAAGTTCTCGTCCTTCCACTCTCCTCTGGCATCCAGTTCTCCTCCCTGAAGCATCCTATGTAAAGACCAACCGAGCAGGGTTCCCATCAGCAGCTGCTTTTAGACTAGGGTCACCAGGAAACACTGCACATTTGGGGTTTAAGCAACCCAAAGCAAAATGCTAGATCTCCCAGCCAAGACATAATGGTGCTAGCTTGTGAGGATTCCTTCTGTGGGTTCATCCAATCCTCTGATTAATTAAACCACAAGCAAACCAATTACCACTCAGTCTATCCCAACTCGTAGTCACCCTGCAGGGCAAAGTCGAACTGTCCCATGGGGTTTCCCTGCCTGCCATCTATACCGGAGGAGACTGCCCACACCTTTCTCTCATGGGTTTGAACTGCCAATGGTTCAGTTAACGGCCAAACACTTAAACCACTGTGCCTCCAGGACACTTCATGGTGGATACAGAACCACTAAACGGTGTATAAGAAGAGTGTTGGTGGCATAAGGTTACGTGCTGGGCAGCAAGGTCGGCAGTTCGAAACCATCAGCTAGAAAAAGGAGACTCTCTAGACCAGTGGTTCGCAACCTTCCTCATGCCGCCACCCTTTCATACAGTTCCTCATGTTGTGGTGACTCCCCCCCAACCATCAAATTATTTTCCTTGCTACTTCATACCTGTCATTTTGCTACTGTGATGAATCAGGCGGCTCCTGTGAAAGGGTCCTTCAACCCCCAACGGGGTCGCAACCCACAGGTTGAAAACCGCTATCCTAGACCCATAAAGAGTGACAGTCTCAGAACCCCACAGGGGCAGTTCTACCCTGTCATCGAAGATAACTGTAAGTCAAAATTGACTTGGGGGCCATGAGTTTGGAGTTTAGAATCAGGAAAAAGCAGAGCCTTTCCACTCAGTAGAGAGTCACAAGCTCAGAAACCCACAGGGGCAGTTCTACTCTGTCCTATAGGGTCAATATGTGTTTGGTTTGGGGGACAGGTATATAAAGGAGCCCTGGCCATGTTGTTGGGTAAGAGTTAAATTGCTAACCGCATGGTTCAAATTCACCAGCCGCTCCAAGGGAGAAGAGTGCCGTTACCCTGCTCCCTTGAAGATCTACAGCTTCAGAAACCCTATGTAGGGTGGCTAAGAGTTGCAATCAACTCAACAGTGGGGGGTGTGATACAGTATAGGTGGAGCCCTGATTGCACTGTGGGTTAGGCACTGTGTTAGACAGGGTTCTCTAGAGAGATAAAACCAAATTCCTGATAATATAATATATTTATTTATAAAGAGAATTAGATATATAACGAGAAATGAACTGTTAAATCATATACAGATAAATATACAATACAAGAAATAAACAGTTAAATTAGAAAGCACTATAAATGGTTTACTGCAACTCACGTCCGTGAGAGAAAGTTGAGAGACTAGCAGTCCTTCAAGTCTCTGTCTGATGCCAGATCTTCCTCTATTTGTAGAGAGAGCTAGGCTATGTCAGCACAGCAGCCAATCACAAGGCAGGTCACCAATTGCCAGTCCCCAGCTCCAGAGAAGTCTTAAAGGGACCTCAACTTACAGCAACACAGTCCACAGGCTAGGCATCCCACAGGCAGTGTAGCCTTTAAATTGAGGCACATAACAAGCAAGGCAGCCGCACACTGGTCCAATGATCACAGAGCGAGAGACAAGAAAGGCAAGGCTCACCAAGCCATCCATCTCTCTGCCTTTCAGTCAATCCCACCTGCGTTTATCAGCCAGGCTGGCACAATAAACTAACTCAGGCACTGAGCTCCTGCAAGGTGAGAGATTCAAACCCACCACCCTGCTCTATGGGAGAAAAATGAAGCTGCCTGCTCCCGAAAAGATTTAGTCTTAGGAACCCTACTGTAAGTCAGAATGTACTCCATGGCAGCGGGGCTTATACATCGGGATGCAGAGGAGCCCTGGTGACATGGTGCTTAAGGGCGTGGCTGCTCACAGAGCAATTGGTGGTTGGAACCCATCCATCCATCCCCGCTCGGGAAGATGATGGAGCAGTTCCACTCTGTTCTCCAGGGCAGGGCCATTGTGCATCAGCATGGGCTCAACAGCAGCAAGGTTGGTTTTTCGTTTTGTTTTGTTTTGACATGTGATAGCAATAGGAATGTGGTACTTGGGGGCACATCATAATAATTACATTTTCCCCCCAAAGAACCAGAATATTTAAATGATCCTAAGCATGGCTTGGTCCCTTCCAGATGACCAGGAGCCTCCAAATGATGTCAATGCCCCAGGGAGGGGCAGAGGCAATAACCCATAGGCAGATCCAGATTAGGAATGACGTTGGCCAACTTGTCTTTTGATTTCCTTAGATCAAAGATTCTATAAGAATGGGAGGCCGAACCTGTAATTCCAGGGGACATCAGAAGCCAATGACAGCTGCCATCCCTCAGGATGGAGGTCTGCAGGAGAAACCTCAGAAGCAACGTGAAGCAAAGTGACAGCCCGTCGCCAAGACCATGACAACACGATGCTGCTTATGTTTGCTGGCTGTGGCTCCACCCCACACTTCCTCCGGGGACATGGCTACGGACACACACAATCTATTCCGGCATTGTAGTTTAATTCTCAACAGAACATGACACTTTTGAATTTGCCTACAGAGCTGGGCAGAAATCAACGAAATATTGTGAAGGAAAAATTCTCATGAACATGCCGCCCAAATCCCTACGCTGAGGCAGGATGGTATGACCAAGGTTTAACTTACCTTCACATGGAAAGACAATAAATGGATTTTGTTTTTTCTTCAACTGTGCTAGTCTACACACACACACACAGAATCTGAAAACATATGCTGGAAAACTTTTGTTACATGACCGTCCAATGTACTCTAAACCCGGGGCCAAATGCAGTAGGAAGTGTTTCAGCATTGTGTTAGGCTGGGTTGACTAGAGAAACAAATCCAGGGACACTCATATATGCGTAAGAAAGAGCTGTATATCAAGAAAAAATTGTGTATCTGGAAAACATCTCAGTCCAGTCAAACTAAAGTATCTAAGTCCAGTACTAGTCCGTAAGTCTATCGTCAGGCTCACGCAGCCAGATGCCATGACGCAGAATGCAGGAATATCACAGGCAAGTAAGTGCAAAGTCCCATGGATCCAATGACAGTGCACACAGCTCCAGGGTTCTGGCAGCAACCAAGGTCTACCAGCAGGAAGGTGAAGGCAAAGAGAGAGAGAGGGAGGAAGGTTCCCAGGACCCTCCTTAAGAGACGGCCACTCCCACAAGGAGTCACCATCAGGCTGTGATCTGACTGACAGGTTGACTACCACCCCTACACTTTTATAGATGTTCAAGTTGAATGAAATTATGCAACTACCACAAATAGGGTGGTCACATCACTAATTGTGCCCAGATGGCTCTGCATCTACCCTGATCCGTCCTTTGCAGCTAGCATCCTCACTGTGGATAGCAATGGGATGCTTTGCAGCAGGAGGACCCCAAAAGGGAAGGGGCAGTCCTTCAGAATGTTCGGTTGTGGCAGGAGGTGGGAGAAAGAAGTGAGGAATCAAAAAGTGCCACTGGTAGTTGTGGTTCCTGACCAAAACCCCTCAGGCACAGCCACCACAGCCTATCAGAGGAGCTTCCAGGCTGAGAAAGACCAGGAAGAAAGACCGGGTGGTCTACTTCTGAACACTGGCCAAAGAAAGCCCTGTGGATCACAACAGCCTGAAGACGGGATGACACCGTTCCAGGCAGTGTTGAGGCCCTTTGTGCATGGCTCATCAAGTGTCAGAGTTTACTCAGTAAGGAAGGACAACACCACCAGGTCACAGCATGAAGCCAGAGTGCACAGAACTGCCCACCTCTGGGTGTGCTGAGTTTTAAAGGGACCTCTTTGTTCCACATCTTAATTGTACCTCAAGTGTCTAATGGTTGGAAGGAAAGGGAGAATGGGGAAGCGTCTTATGATGCACTCACTCAGTCACTCTGTTGGGTAGGGTGACCCTTCTACCCAAAGAGGGGCAGTGCAGACACAGGTTCACGGCCACCACAGTAAGCCTGGAGGACTCAGAAAGAGGCATTTTCAACGGGGCCAGAGCTCCTGGTGAGGGCTGTTGACAGAAAAACAAGTTCTCTTCTTCCTTCCAGACCAGTCATGTAAACTAGGGGCTTAGCGAGAAGACACCCATGCCATCAGAAGGCCAAGTTCAACAAGAGCATGTCCTGGGGAAAGGAAGCAAAGCACGTGCGACCCGGTCCACATTCATTCCAGGCTTTTAGAGAGAGATGCTGCTCCCTCTCTTGGAGCGCTAAGATACAGATGGTCAGAAGGTTCCGTCAGGGGGAGAGGGGAAGGAATGCCTATACCAAGGAACTGGAGCTTGTTCCTTGAATAGGCCCTGTGCAAATGGACAAGACAGGATCACAGAGGTTCATCACAGCACTAAGCAGCTGCTCCCCCAGGTAGAGCAGAATGGGCCCTAGAGTTATGAATGAAAAGCCTGTTATTTATTTATTGCATGATGCTGTCAGAAACAGCTACTAAGTTGGCCCCAGGGGCCTGGAAACCCTCAGCAGAGAGGAAGGAGCACTGCCTATTCTGGGCCTTCTCCTTGATTAACTGCAGATTAGACCTTTGGGTCCACTGGACATTCATTGGCTGGATGTTGAACCTCCAGGCCTTTCTTCCAACTCGTCTTAGTCTGGAAGCATCCTGAAGTCTGTTCAGCACCATAGCAGCACACAAACCTCCACTGATAGTTGGTGGGTGGCTGTGGATGAGGTGGTTGGAAATTGGCCCTGAGACTCTTGCACAGGTGAAAGCCACAGGAAGACTTCGATCCAGGGCTTATGTAATCCACTGAATTAGATAATGTGGATCTCCTAGCTATAGCTTCTGTTACTCCCCACCAAACAGCCTTGTTGGGTCTGGGTAAAAAGATGGGGCAAGATACTGATTGGATTATATGATTCAGTGGTTGTTAACGGGATTCATACTTGGGTGTGTCATCTGGCTGGGTATAAAATCAGCCATCTCAGAAGTAGGAGGGGGGATTTTACAACCAGTGAGAGAGAAGAGTCAGAAGAGAGGTACACTCTTTCGATCCCAAGAGCTCTGGATCCAAGAGACAGCAGAAAAGTGGCAAAGGAGCAGCAACAACAGCAACAGCACCTAAGACAGAGTAGCGGACATCACAATCCATGGAGCAAGTAAAGCCGAATGCTTTGGGGCAGGAAGCTGCCTTGTGGAATGGGCTGCCTACAGGCACTTAGTTGGTGGAGCGGAGTTTGTGGATCCATACATGGGTGCTTAGAGTGGAGCGAACTTATCGGAAGCTCTAAGAGAACTTTGCAACACTGCCAGAGCAGGACAGGCTATACCAAAGAGGCTGGGAGTCAGAGCAAGTCCTGCCTCTGGGCACAGCAGAGAAGAAACTATCCAGACTGAACAACTGTACCCTGAGTTTTTCTTATCGGAATTTCAGCCTGTTAACTTCCCAAGTAACACCCTTAATCCTGAGTATGACCTGTGAGCGCTGTGTGGCCACTGCGATGGATTATTGAACCCAAATGAAGGGTGGACAGTTGCTGGGGGAGGGCAAGTTGGTATCAGAAGAGGGTCAAAAGGGATGGAGGGTGGACACAAGTCTGACATCTGGCTTTCGGCCATCAACCTCAGGCCTGGGAGTCCGAGGAGGCCAGACACGGCCCCTACATCATTTCTACAGTTTAGGAATCATGAACCCACACAATATTCTCCCTTGAAGGCCTGACATACAGAAGAATCTAAATGAGAGATTGATCCACAAAGTATTTGTCTTTCACTACAGAATAAGGAATCGATGACTATAGCTTTGTCAGCTTTTAGAAACTTACTACCAATTAGCAATTCACCAATTAACATCCGATGTGAAAACTGAGTAGGCTTAACACCTGGCCTGCTTCTCAATTGCTCCTTCCAGTAGCATCTCTTTGTCAGGAATCTAAAACAACCTGCAAAGGAGGTTATCCCCCTTTGAAAACAAATGAATTGCTTGGTTCTCAAACATAGGCTCAGAATTTGCAAAATAAGAGTAAACCACATCCACGTAACACTAGCTAGATTAGTGGGCAGAGTCGAAGCTCCCAGTGGAAGGCTTTTCTCTTCCTGGTCTGCATGCGTGGCCCCTAGTGTCTAGTGCAAAGAGCAGCATTACACCAGTCCTAACCCTTCACAGCAGTTCAGATCTCTAAAGTCACTGTGACAATGAATTAGCAAATACAGTGAACCCTCGCCACTTAGCGCTTCGACTTCCGCGGCTTCACTCTATCGCGGTTTTTGCGTAACAGCGCATGCTCTGTCATTACTGCCACTGATTGGCTCATACTGTACATGCTTCTGTCTGCATCGCTACGTATCGGAGCTACGTATCAGATGCATTTTTGCTTTTGTACAGTGTACTGTAATTGTTTGCGATTTTTAAGAAATTTTATCTAAGCCCTATGATGGCTCCTAAACGAGCTGCTTCTTGTAAGCCTTCTGACAATAAAAATAAGCGCCAGAGGAAGATGCTCACCATCCAGGAAAAGGTAAAACTTTTGGATATGATCAAAGATGGCAAGAAAATCGTGGAGGTTGCACGCCATTTTGACTTGAATGAGTCTTCCGTTCGCTCCATCCGTAAAGAGGAAAAAAACATCCGTGCTACGGCTACTTTCACTTTCAACAAGGAAGCAAAGTGCATCGTGACAAGTCGTAATAAGTTCATAATAAAAACGGAGTCTGTCCTAGCCGTTTGGATCATTGTAACGTCCAAAATGTTTTACTGTATTTTCCCTTTTTCGTTTAATAAATTGGGTAATACGAGTGTAATGGTGACTGAAGGGTGTTTTTTCATGTCCTCTATGCTCTAACTACGAAAATATTTGATTTACAAATAAGGAATCCTACTTCGCGGAATTTCATTTATCACGGTAGGGTCTAGAACCGATTAACCGTGATAAACGAGGGTTCACTGTACTGACCCAGTGCTCCTATTTTTGTGAGCCTCTGGGCACACGATATTTTTACTTTACTTTTTCCTTGTCATTGGGCTGAGAGTTTACAGAGAACATGTATTGTGTGCATTCAACAATTCACGTGCATTTTGCATCATGACACCAGCTGCAAGCCCTGGTCACAACAGTGTTGTTTTTAGGCACCGCCATGTCGGTTCTGACTCACAGTAACCCGATCTATGTACAAGAGAAGGAAACCACTGCCCGGTCCTGCACCATCCTCACAATTGTTCTTATGTGTGCGCCTACTGTTGTGGCCACTGTATCAACTGATCACATCGAAGGCATTCCTCCTTTCTGATGCCCTTCTACCACACTAAGCATGATGTCTTTCATGGGATTGATCTCTCTTGAAAACGATTTGAGATACAGCCTCACCACCCTTGCCTCTAAGAAGCATTCTGGCTGTACTTCTTCCAAGACAGATTTGTTTGTTCTTTTGACAGTCCATGGTACCACGGCCCTGTCTCACGGTAGGGTCTAGAACCAATTAACCGTGATAAACGAGGGTTCACTGTACTGACCCAGTGCTCCTATTTTTGTGAGCCTCTGGGCACACGATATTTTTACTTTACTTTTTCCTTGTCGTTGGGCTGATTTTATGTCGTAGTTTTATGTCAACTGATCCGTACAGGAGCTTGTTTAATCTGTGCTTCTGTTTGTGAAGACATTACTGGATGTGTATTGTGGACTCATTCACACTGAGCTGGCAGCCATCGGTGCTGTCACTGCTCCTTGAATGAAGCTCATCTAGCACACGCGCTCT